CAAGATGGATGCACATGTCTCTTCCAATTCAAACTCTGAGGAATACCACTTTGCAGCATTTTGGTAAAAACAATGAGCCTTTTTTTTGAGCTTGGGAAAGGATGCCCACTTTCAGGATTTATCAAACTAAGAAGAGTATGTGAAACCTGGAAGGAAAAAAAGTTCACTACAGAAAAAGAAAAGTAGTAAACTCGAGGAAACAAAGTGCTAAATGTTGTGCTCTATTGATTACCTGTACAACTAGTTGATTACACCATAGAATGGATTGGTGGTCCATTGAAAGCCATACGTTCTTCATGCCTGAGCTACTTATCATAAAACCATGACTGGAGGGTACAATTCCATCTAAAGATGCTAACTTTGATCGAACCTGAATGAAATTATCAATATGAGGCCTTGTCCACATATACATAATAGAAGCGAGTAAAAATCATCCAGCATTATGTACTAACATGCAAATATCACGCCCACTAGATCCTGCTAAGAATGAGCATCAAACTCAATTTCCCAAAAAAATTGGTGTAGTAGTTTTAAAATTAAAAAAAAAAGTAGCCAATCACCTTACTTTCTATCTCTCCACTAAATGTTCAGAGACCCCAATTCCATTCAAGCGCTCAACAAAAGATAACTTCAAAATTGGAGATATATCCATAATAATCACTACAAATGGCCTAGAATGCTGATAAAAAAAAGCTTTAAAAATGTAATATGATATATCTTTGAGTCAGGAGCATGGTGCAAAGAGAGCGATTTGTATCCCAGTACAAAAATGTCAGACCTAGACTAGACAAGAACAAAGAAAATCTTATTTTTCAAGTCAAAGTGATTCACCATGGCATGTCATATCAACAACAACAAGCCTGTATCCCAAGCTTTTGGCGTAGGCCACGTGAAATTACTAGAAGCTTCTTCAACTATGATCTAATTACTCCTGAACCAGTAATGCAAACCGGAGGCAACTAGGTCTTATTCTTTTGATCAGACTGGAATCAGTAGCACTGTCAGGTCTTGTTCTAATACCAGAAAACCCAGCAAACTTAAGTAGAATATCTTTGCATCTGGTGGAAAACAGGAAAAAGAGGTTTTCGACATTATTGAAATTCGGGACTTTTTGGTATTAGTCTCTTAAATCTTTCATACCTTGAAATTAGACCCTCAAATCATTGAACTTGCTATTAGGTTGCTTAATTCGTACGTTTTTTTCAAATCGGTACCTCGAAATTGCTACTAGATACCCCAATACTTAAGTTAGTTTGAAATTAGCCCCTCAAATCAAGAGTAGAAGTAGCAATAGAGGGATCGATTTGAAACAACTTATGAGAATTGGGGAACCTAATAGCAATTACAGTGATTTGAGGGACTAATTTCAAAATATGAACGATTTAAGGGACTAATATCGAAAAAAACCAATTTGAAGCCTAGGAAAAGTCATTAAAGATCTCTATACAGACATGACAATAAAGAGTCACACTAAAACAAAAGAATATAAGAAAGTAAACATAAAAAATGACAAATTAAAACACAAACTTATGTAAGGTTCTTTAGTGCGCTCTGAAACAATCACAAAATGATAGCATTTCAGGAAAACAAAGTATTTCAATAAAGAAAAGCCGACGGATTTAATCCATCTTCTGAAGAGTTTGAATTTAATAGGTCGTGCATTCTGTAAACCATCCTGATCAAAAGTTATGCAATGCAAAATTGACCATGAAATCGATCTGATTTAGCAATAAAGAGATTAGATGTCACAGGTCAGACTCAGAATAATTCGGAGAATTTTTTGAGATAGACCCAATTTGATAAATACTTAGCAAAAACGACCGTTTTGTTAAACATTTAGTAAAATCGACCTCTTTGTGACCAGCTCACCAACATTGGCCAAAAAGATGTCGATTTTACAAAATATGGGTTTTAAAATACACAGGACTACTAGTCCCGTGTATTTAGTGGTCGCTAATCGCGACCTAAACAAGACACACAAAACCCATGGGACTAATAGTCCCGTGGGTTTTCTGTTCCCTCACAGAAAATCAATGAAGGGCAACAAGAGAATGGGAGTGAGAATGGGCCTCAACCTCCTGCTCGCTATGGTGGCCACGAACATCCTCTCCTTCTACCACCTCTCCTCCTCGCGCTCTCTTTCTCCTTCTTCCTTACTCGCCTCCTCCTCCACCTCCGCCTTCGTCGTCCCCGACCACCTCCTCCACCAGCTCCGCACCTTCCGCGCCACCATCACCCTCCTCTCCTCAACCTTCCACCTGTCAACATGTACAGATTCTTCAAAGAAGCCCCACACCCCGGCTCCGAAGTTGGTGACTCGCAGCACTCCCCCATTCCCTCTGCTTGCTCCAA